TAAAATGCAAGCAACTTTAATTTGTTGACTATTTCCTAAACGACTAAATTTGGAGTATAATACACAGATAGTCCACATCTTTGTACACATCTCCAAAATACACTGGGTATAATGAAAATAACAACCATGAATATAACACACCAGTTTTGTTAAAGCATTAATACAAGCTTCTTTATAATCTACCATAACACTTACATTATTGTTAATCAATGTATGTCCCCAAACAGTTCTCAAAAAGTATTAATTGTATCAAATAAAATGTTATAATCAATCTCTCTTTTCTTGGACATAAGACAATGTGCAAGTGTGCAACTTTGTCCATTTTGTAAAATAACATGTATTGTGTATAATTGAGCATAATCAGAAGGACAAGAACTGAATGTACCGTCCATGCACAAATAATTGTCCAATCTTTTAGTTCATTTACTTTTTTTTACTAATTAACCAAAAAAATGTTTTCATCTTCTTCAATATAATACTTATCACTAGTCATTAGTTTATCAAGTTTATCTTGAATTAATTCAGCTTTTCAACCTATTTATTATCCTTTTAATTGTTGTTCTTTATTTTTCAGAAAAGCTTGAACACATTATTGCTTTTTTGTTTTTCAAATTTACGGTTTTTCCCCTCATTTTTTGGAAAACAATGAAAAATAGCATAGGAGTGTTGCCACCTACTTTACCTTTACCATCCATTTATTGGGATCAAAAACTCGGATCAATAGAGAAATACAACTGTTGAACTTTATACTTCCTCAGAAAAACAAATTATTTATATATTGTCACTGACATTATCTTTGTCACCGATTTTATCCTCTATCTGTAAATGTTTTTAAATTACTTTTAAAAATAAATCATAACATTTGCCTATTTTTATTTTGGTGTCTTTATATTTAAAAGTTTAATTTGATTGGTTGCTCAAAAATAAAATATTAGCAATTTAATGGTTATTGTATATGTGTTTTCGGTAATATACGATTCTTGATATTTTGGTTAACTATTACCTTGTAAAATTTTATAATTTTATATTAATTAGCTTTTTTAAAATATAGTGATTATTTTGGTTTGTTTTTAAAATCTGAATAAAAATAAAATGTAATATAATGATAAATAATTAATACATTTTTTTATGAAAAATATCTTTTTGGTAAAAATTGTAGTAAACATGTTAGTATTTATATAATTATTTATTGGGACATTTTTATTATAAAAATGTATTAATAATTTTTTTAAATTTATTCTTTTTTGGTGTTTGCGATTGAGTTTTGTGCTTTAAAAACTTAAAAAACTTGATATTATTCAATTTTTAATTTTTACAAAAAATAACATTTTCTGGAAATTAAATTTTTTATGTATATAAGCAAATTTTTACATGATAGACTCTAATAATTTCACAAGAAATGCTTTTTGCAAACAATTATCATTTAGTGATGCATATTTCTGATGACAAAAAACAATGATGTTCAAATTATGATAAGGAATTATGGTTTTTATCATAAATTGAAACAAAATGATTAAGTCATTTTAACTTTATTTGTAGAACTTAAAAATATATTTAAAAAAGCGAGAAATAGAGTTATAATATATTTGAAATTATTTTTTGTTTACAAAGCATGTTTTTAATAATTAAATAATAAAATAAATTATTGGTTCGTTTTTTGCAATTAGTTATTGAAATAACAAGTAATTCCCTTTTGATGTTTTTCCGTTTTAACATTGCATTTTTTAATTATAAATTGGTGTTATTGTTACTGGGTTTGAGGTTTTAATATTAAATAGTGCCGTCTTTTGATAATTGGTTTAATAATTTATTACTTATTATATACTGGTTCTGTATTTTAAATCTTATTATTGTTTCTGTCTGATAGTTTCTTTTGGTAGTATTATAATAGTTAAAATATAGTTATTTGTTTAAATTAACCTAGTTTTTATATAATTATTTTATAATAATTTAATAGTTGTTTTATTGTCTATAGGAATTGTATGGAAATGTTTGTCTATGTTTTCGTTCTTAATTTACTTTTATATATCATTTTACATCAATTTCCCCATTTGTTTTTTATTTTCTTTTTGTTTTTCCAGTAATTGTTTTAGTCGGCAACTTTATTTATTTTTTATTGACCGTTTTTGACATTGCATTACAGGTGATTTATGTTTCATGGTTTTGTGTTTGTTTATTTTGTTTGTTTTTGAAATTATTGGTAAAAATTGGAAATACGTACCAATTGGTTATCACATTGGCAGTGTAAAAAACTATTTTGATCATCAACCGCCGTTTTTTTATGTTTTTTCTATTAAATTTTAGTTTTTAAAAGTTTAGATAGTTCCTTGTTATTGAAATACGAAATAACGAAATTGGGCGCTCCTTTGGAATGAAAGGAGCGCCCAGTTATAAAACTTTGTTTTATAAGGTTCCATTTAAACTTGAAAAGATGTAAAACACTAATAATTTAGAGAATTTTTGGCATGGTATTTTTTTCAAAAATTATATTATATTGGCCTGAAATAAGAATTTTCTTCCCTAAAAAAATCAGTGAATAATTTTTTTACCAATTAACTTGTTGTTTTCAAGTTTAAAAAAAATTGAATAAAAATGGTAAGAAAACAATAAATAACTAATAATTTACTTGAAAGCAAATTTGTTATTCGGCATTTTATTAATAATTATTATAAATGCCTGATCTTATTAGCGTCAGCAGTGCTTTTTACTTATTTTATTTAAAATAGTTAATTAATTAAATTATCAATTGTTAATGCTTAACTATGTGAAAAGTCTATTGATCTTTTCTAAGTTTTTTGCTTCAAAAATTTGTGTTATCAAATCATTAAATTATAATTAATAATATTAACATTTGTACTATTCATTTTTAGATGAAAATATTATCTTTAATATTATTTTAACAGTTAATTACTATAGTTTGTAGTTTGAGAAAACCCATAATAAATAAAGATACCAAACTACTTTCCATATAATATACTTCATAAATATACAACGGGACACAAAGAGTAGATATGCCGCAACTATCGAAACTTGTTGAACCCAGCGAGTTGCGGCGTCGTGAATCCATCTCCGGAGGAGACAAGACATAAAGAGGAGATGCCTGAAAAAAGAAACATCAAGATATCCTAATCGAGTGTTCGTTCCAGTGTTAGGTTTGAAGGGTAAAACCCGTTTTCTTTCCGTCTGTACGACCCTTCAAAAAGGACAGATTTTGTTAAAACTTGTGTACATTAATTCAAGTTGTGATGACGTGGCAAATTACTAATATGGCACTTATGGAGTCAATGTGTTGCAATGTTTGAATAAAAACACAAAAATGACAAAAAGTCAGTTAAGTTGGAAGACAACAATACTCTTTGGTTTGAATCCGCGATTGTCATTATCAGTCAACTCGTTCTTTTTGGCGGTGTAAGTGTCTGGGTTGCAATAACTCCCATCTACACCTTTCTTGTACACATCTATATCACTACCGTAACCAAATGCAAAGAGACATTGGTTGTCTTGTGAATAAAGATAAAATTCACAATAGGTGTAATTTCCACTTTTCCCAAACTTTTTTGGATTCAAAGTGCCATTTCTTACAAGTGAAAAGATGTAAGAACTGCCACTCTTGATATAATCTTCAACTTTATTTATTTTTCCTGTGTACACGCCGCCAAACTTGTTGTGATTTGTGTCTTCTATTAAAATACACAAATTACTTTTGTTCATGACTTTATCATTAAACACTGATGCGCCTTGCGACCAGTCGTCTTTATCTGAGTCAAACACAACGTTTGCAATCTTCATTCCCGTCAACTTCTCAAGACTGGCTTCTTCTTCAAGTGTGATGTGTTCGCATTTCATTCTCTCTTCTTTTGTGTCGTGTTGTTTCTTTGAATTGATGTATTTTTCCGATTGCTTTATTTCATCAATTTTAGTGTTGTATATTTTACACTTTTCTTCATAAAGTGTGATTCTGATGTTGAATATTTCATACAACTTGTCGTTGTCGCTCTTTGTTGAATATAGAGCCATCTCACTTTTGATTTTATTTGAAGCCTTATCCAAATCAGTGACAATTGTGGTAAGTAAAGTTGTAACGTTCTTCTTTATCTCAAACACCTCATCGAGTCTGTCGAAGTGTCCTTCTGCATTTTCAATGCGTTGATCAATGTCAAGTGACTTGTCGTCAACAAAGTTGTATTTCTTAATATTTTTGTTGAGGTCTGACACCGCCTTTGCTGCGTTAGTGCAGAGTGTTGAGAGTGCTGTCAACTCGTTTTCCATGTATGTCAATAAAGTTTATTTGTTGTTATATTTAATTTTTTATAAATTTCATTCAAAATGATCATAACCTCATTCAAAAATGATTTTTTTTCAATTAAAATTAAAAATAAAATCATTCAAACTTACATAAATGATTTTAATTTAAACAAAAGTATTTAAAATATGCAAATAAATTCAAAACCACAGAATTATAAACGTAAAAAGTTTTTTATTTATTGAAGTAAAAAAGCGTAAAAAATACATAGATATTGTTATAATTGTTAAATAATTATTTTACTATCAATATGATTAATAGCAAACTCAATATTTGTTTTTTAATAATTATTATTTTTTAATTTATTATTGTTTATTTTATGTTGCCATTAAAAAGTTTAACAAAAATGAATACTAAAATAATGACAAATTTATTAGATTTAATTATAAAATAATAAGTAAATTAATAATGATTGAAATTAAATTTAATAGTACATAATCACAATATATTTTCATATATATTTTGTGTAAAAACGAATAGCACAATTATTCATATAATTTATTATAATTTAATGATTTGATAAATCCCACGATTTTTTAAATCATTATAACTTCGAAAAAAAATCTATATAGTCAGTCTGAAAACGTTGTCCAGGCATTTTTGGACCATCAAAACTCGAATATTTCGGGAAACAATTCGAAACATTCCCAAAACATCGTATTACAGACTCATTCCAATTTTCTGCATATTATTTGGTATGGCAGCGGTATCTATTTACGGACTCATTGAAGGGCATTTACTCCACGTGAAAAATATTACAATTAAATCAGACAAATTCGACAGACCTTTCAAGTTTGTCCACACCAGTGACATCCACATTGGTTCAAGATTTTTGAGTCACGCCGAAAAGATCGTGAAGCTCATTTTAAAGGAAAAGCCCCAATTTGTTGTCATCACCGGTGACCTGACAGACTCTCCAAATGTACAAGAATACGAATTGCTCCCATTCAAGAAACTGAGCGAAAAATGCCCGATCTATATGTGTATGGGCAATCACGACTACGTCACTAGCAAAACAAAAGTCGAGGAAATCACGGGCGTGCAAAATACATTTACTGATCAACGAAGTGTGTATGGTCGACAAATATAACACGATGATAGCGGGCACGAACGACACAAACACCCTTTCATATTATTTCGACAGTTTAAACGTTGTCAAACAACTTGTCGAACCACGGGCGTATAACATAATGTTGCAACATCGGCCACAAGGAGTCGAAGAAACATGTGAGACTGGATTGTTTGATTTGATGTTGTCTGGACATACACACGTCGGACAGTTTGTTCCATTTGGGTGGTTTGTGTATCTCTTCTTTAGATGGCCAAACGGGTTTTACAACATCAAAAAGGGCGACCATAAGATGGAGTTGTATACATCGCCAGGAACAAAGGCTTGGGCACCACATATGAGAACAATGGGTACTAACGACATTATGGTGTTTCACATGCAGCCTACCATAACACCTTCTGTCATTTCTGATGTTGAAATCGCAATGTAAAAATTATAAATAGGAGTAGGAGTTCTGTGTTT